TTGATCAGGCGCTTCTTTCTGGGGGATTTCTTCTTCCTCGGAGGTTTCCATGCCTTATTCTCGTCGTTCCGTACGTACGGTGTCATATCATTGAAGGTGTCAAACCGGGGCAATTTGAACGTGCGCATGAGTTCGAAGACGGCTTGTTCCTTGTCTTTGGCTTCGATCATTAGATCCATGTCCGGCGGACAGGGCGGCAATGTTGCAGGCCGCGGATTGTGCTTCCGGCGCTGTCGTGCTGTAATGGCCGATGGCACAGGCTCTGAATAGTGCATTTTCTGCGTAATACCCTTTCTTGTCCATGTAGCTGTGATCCTATCATAGAGATCCATAATGTCCAGTGTACCTTCACGCACCTTGTCCCCATCAAAGACAATGTTGTGATGGTGGAAATCCAGAACGAGCGGGATATTAAGTTCTTCACACACAGGCAGCAGATCATGCACACTGTAACTGACATCGTCATTCTCCAAAACCAGACGGTCTTTGATGCCCTGTCGGAGCTTGACGTAGTTCTCTTTGAATCGAGCAATAGTGACGGCCTTGTCGCCGAAGACACCACCCATGTGCAAGATCATCACCGCGTCTCGATTCAGCTGTGGCGGCAACTCCAACAGGTCGAGCATCTCGCAGTGGTATTCTAGGTCGCGGATCGAGGCTTGTATAACCTCCTTTCGCGGCGAGCCCAGTTGTGTGAACTGCCCGGGATGGGTCGTCAAGCGGTGACCGAGCTCGGCAGCCACGCGACCGGCTTCTGCAAGCACTTCTGAGGCAAACGGGGCGAGCTTGTACCCGTACACATCATGGCTGGCAAATGGAAACATCTCCGACGAGAGCCGGAGAAATTTGATGCCGTAGCGATCGTTCCAGCGTAACATCTTGACAATATCCCGCGCATTGGCGAGACCCAAGGCTTCCACGTACTCTTGCCCCCGAGCAATGTCCGCCGGCTGATCCTTATCCGGTCGATTTTTGGTTGGATGTTCGGGCTGGGTAGGATCTTTCAGCGGGTGGCGGTGCTCGAGGATCGAGGCGATGCGACACGTTCGTGACGAGAAGACTGGTGGATTTGCAGCACGGAGGTAGGTGTTTAGACAGGCATAGCCCAAGCGGCCCTTCCACGGCAATGGGAGGTACGAGCTGTTTACTGGAGGTGGTCGGGACAGGGCTTCTTTCAGTTCTTCAGGGTTGGCTTCCACGTCTCCTTCAGCTTCAGGATCTTCCTGGTCAAGCCCGTCCCCTCCTTTCGGCGAGGCTTTGACGTGGACGGTCGATGCGGGAAGTGTCTCGGAAAGTTCTCCGACTACCTCTTTCCCGGTCCTTGCTTTCTTGCTTTTCACATTGTCAACCTCAGGCCCCTCAGCGTCTGGCGAAGGACAGAGACTGTCCGGGACAGTGTCAATTCTGGCCGAGACGGCAATCGAGGCGTTTCTGGGACTCGTTCGTCGAGTTGATGCAGGAGCCGATCTAGCTGAAGTGACATTGGTGGTCGTGGTGACCTTGGTCGACCTCTTTCGTTTGGCCATCGCGGTTAGCGGTAACGGTACAGATCTCGGTGTCAAACCAGGGCGGACATGGGGTGTAATTGTCGGGGCAATGGGGCGTCTGAGACCAAGTAGGCGATATTTGCTAGTGCTTCGGATTGAACACAGAGGAGTAACTGAGGGATTCAACATGCGATGTATCTATTGAGCTTTTCGGCTTGACCTTGGCTGAGAGAACGAGAGGAACTACTCAGTCCATGATTCCGCTCGCAGGTTGCAGCGGTGCGGTGGCCAGCATGTCCAGCTCCTCTCCACGCTCTCCACGACGTCATAGACTTTTGTGTTTGACATTTGTTGCTCCTCGCTCAGCGGCCAGCTGCACCTCGTACACACGACTCTCGAGATCGATCGTCACACCCGCGTGGTTTCGATCGGGGAAAGGCAAGACGCCCTCTCTTTGCATCGCCACCAATAAATGGCCAGCTCGTCATTGCAAGGTGTGGCACAACAGCCAAACCCCCCCCTTCCCATCGAGCCAATCTCCAGGGTCTCGCCCGCTGCAGGGATCGATAAAGGGCCTCGCTACTAGCCATTGACCCCCTCTCAGTGGCAACCGGCTTTTCTGATTTGTCCTGCGGGAAACAGGCCTTGACAGTCCCAATGCTGTCGGACCATACCACACCTCGAACCCTTTATCCGCCCAAGGGCCATCTGGGAACGCCTCCTCATGCTACTGAAATGGCCAGACCATCTCTGACACTCCCCGGCTGTGGCGAAGAGTCAGCGCCCATCCATGTCTCCATGCCGCCGATTGTGTCTTACGGACTCGATCAAAACCCATCCCGCCACTTTCGTGGTCTGTGATGGCTGTCTAAGGGCTGTTTGACTGACGGTGTGCTTTTTGGGATTGTCCATTTCGGAAGATCCAACTCCGCCTTTCCCGCTGCTGATATCTCGGCTCATCACACACCAAGGACATCTACAAAATGCCCGTTCTCGCCCACTTTCGCAGAAAACTTTCACGAACCAAGTCCGCACCTGACCCAGTCGAAGTAGTGGAAGAGAATCGGGCCAAACTGCAGCCATGGCCCAGCAAAACTTTGTCTTTGACCCCCTCGGACGAACAGCTCGTCTGCAAACTGGCTTTTACTCCCGACACAGCCATTATTGAACGACCGCCTCGCCAACAGACCCCCTCGGTTGGGACTCGGTGGTCCGAAAGGACAATCTTCAACAATGTCGAATCAGGCTTTCTGTCACTGCCGACGGAGCTTTTGATGTTTCTCCAGCCATATTTGAGTCCCAGCAGCGAGGTCGCTCTCCGTCATAGTTGCTCCAGGTTCTTTCATCTGTACAGCACACCATCTTTTGTCTTGACAGGGAAAGAGCTGTTCGATTTTCTCTGCATGACTGAACGCGATCAGGACCCCGCTGAGCTGGACAGGTTGGTGTGCGGCAAGTGTCAAACGCTGCATATCCGGTCTACTTTTCCTATCTCTGAGATCAAGCAGGAATCCACCTGCCGAGATTGCAGACAGGTCTGGTTATGTCCCCACCGTCACCTTGGTTACCAGAAGACGATCCGCAACATCAAGGCCGGTGTGGAGTCGCCATTTCGGGTTGAGACGCTTGAACCCTGTTCGAGGTGCAGAAACTCCATTCGCAACCGATCTGTTGCTGACCGACCAGAGAAAGGCACGTCAGTCATGGATTTGGAAAATTCAAAAGCAGAATCTCTCTTGATCTCCAAAGTTGCCCTCCTTCAAGCGCCGTCGCCTCTGTACAACACAAGAACAACCGGTGGTAGTGGCATGTACAAAGAAGTGTTTCAGGTCAAGGACGTTTCAAGCGCGCTCCAAGCGATCGATTTCCGGCTTTGCCCTCATTTGAAGCTCGGTGACCCCTACATCCTGAGCAAATTCTGCAGAGCATGCATTAATACCCAACGCCTCCCGCCCGGGGTCAAGGGCCCACCGTGTATCAACGCGTCAAAGCGAGAGCTTGGAGACGGCCGCGCCGGTGCGAAGTGTAAAGGTACCTGCTTTACTCGAGGTTGCAAGACACAATTTATGTTTCAGGCTCGTGAAAGTCTTTCACCTGATGGCTCTGGGAGACGACAAGTTTGGCTCATTATTGTCATCTATCGCTGGCTTGGTCCACTCCTGAGCGCCGGACGGGATGCAACCTGGACGGGCCACGCCATCGACCACCAAGAACGGAAGGAGATGCGCGTAAAATGGGCTGAATGGGAAAAAGCAAATCGATCTGGAAGACAATGCATGCCGAATTGGAGCATATGCCTTCTTCACCCAGAAGACTCGAATTTACGATAAGATGAGACGGAGTAACAAGGACATTCGATTGTCGAGACGAGTCGTCCCGGCAATAGTGTGGAGCACTGCTGATAGTAGGTGCGCTGCGCATGTCGCTCGTGCATTATCGTTCGTGGGTGGGATCGATGAGGGGATCATGTCTACCGCTAATCTAGGGATCGACAGCGACGTGAAGCTTCTTCCCAAAGCTAGGCTATTTTTTCCTTTGGCTCGCAGGAACCAAAACAACCGAGGAAATGGCAGTTAGTCCTCCAAGATGATCGCTTTTTCCATGGCGCAAGGCTGATTCGGTCACAGAATTCGTACTATATACGAAGAGAATCAGTGAGTCGTGACTTGGAACTTGCTTCTCACAAGCAGAAGAGCTCCCCAGAGCGTGCTATGTTCCATGGTTCAGCTCAATGTTCCCCCAGGCGGACAGGACATGCTCGTTCCCAAGATCGCGCAATCGTTGACCAGCAAAACCAGCTCAAACCCCTCTTCGAGCAATGATGGACATTGCCGCTTCAACCCCGAGGGACCTAAATTATACACAGTCGCTTGCCCCAGATTTCTTTAGTTGTACGATGGTTTGAGCCGAGAACCGGTGGGCTTTGGTGGCTGAGATTGGCGACATTGCTCGATTGTCACCCCGACAACGACTGTGGGGTGGTTCGTGCTTGCCCTACAAAAGCTAGTAGACTGGAGTCGAGAGCTCAAGGAAGGCCTGAAGAATGTCACCATGGGGCAGGAAATCAACGCATTCTCTGGGGTACTTGCGACCAGACCGCGCTTAAGCCTCGTCAATTTTTGCTTACCTCCTTGCAACCTGTATCCACCCAAGCATATCCTGGAGCTTTGTTTAGCACGAATTGTTAGTGCGCCATCTCAAGAAATTGAAGCAGGAAGGACATTGTTTGGTGTGGCTACCTTGACGTGTATATGATGGCGACCGGAATATACAAAAGGGGAGCACCATGTCGCTCAAAGGCACAAACTCATCCACTTCTTCATCAAGCTTGGTCGCTTCTTTCACAGCAACAGCATTCAGCTCCTTTGGTCTGCAAGCGACCCTGCTATACGTGTGTTGATCCTGTGATACATCCCTCTTGCATCAAACCCAGACTCCTCACGCTACCTTCGAACCTCCCCTTCTTGCCTCGTCGGCCTCCGCCTCCTGCCCGTTTCCCATCCGAGAACAAATATGTCTCGCTTCCTCCCCCTCTCCCTTGCCCTCTCCTCCATATTATGGCTACCTATATGCACTCAAGCCCATATGCAGATGAGCTGGCCATACCCCCTGAGAAGTCCCCTTGACCCTGACGTCCCCGTGGACGAGAAAGACTATGATATGACGTCCCCCTTGTTGGCGGACGGTTCTAACTTTCCTTGCAAGAATTACCAGAATGACACAGATGGGTATGTGACCAAAGCTACTTATATTTCCGGCGGCACCTACGACATGTGGCTAAATGGGACCACCGAACACGACGGAGGCTCTTGTCAACTATCTTTGTCTTACGACAATGGGGTTTCGTTCAAAGTCATCAAATCCATGATCGGTGGATGCCCATTGACACACAACTACAACTTCACGATTCCCAGCTTTGCGCCTTCTTCGGATTCAGCTCTGCTTTCCTGGTCCTGGTTCAATCTCGTTGGGAACAGGGAGATGTATCAAAACTGTGCCAGAGTCCAGATCATCAGTGGACCGAACCAGCGGTATCGACGAGCTTCTCCATACAGACGACAAGCTTCTTCCATGGATCAGCTACCGGACATGTTCGTGTGCAATGTTGGCAATGGCTGTCAGACCATCGAAGGGCAAGAAGTGGTTTTCCCAGATCCCGGTAACGATGTCGTCTATGGCCAGGATGCAATTGTTCCCGGGCCAGGTCCAGGCTTTACCATCCAGGGGGTCGCTATTTCGACAAGCACAAGTTCAGGCTCTGTGGCCTCCACTACCGCCGCATCTACGTTATTGGACGCTTCCACGACAACCTCTGATTCTGCCTCCTCGACCACTACAATTGGAACTACAACCACGGTCCCATCCACAACGACAACAGGGTCTGGGTCAGCGGCGATGTTCTTCAATCTCTCCACCACTCTGGTCACAACCACAACCACAACCACATTCCCTTCCTTTCTTTTAGCTAACATGACAACCACTTCATCCCCCTTCTCCTCAGGAACTAGCTTCACCACTAACAGTACAGGAACTGTGACTGACTCTAATGTTTTTATGATTGCCCCGACGACGACGACGACGACGACGACGACAGCCGCTACGACCACGGCATCCGACCTTGCGAGATCCGACTTTGTGGCATACTCGACGACTACGACTCCGACCCTCACGACTTCAGCTACCAGCACCTTGACGAGCACTTCCTTCACGTTCCCAATAACCAGAGACACAATACCAACTACTTTTACGACCTTGGCCCGCGTCGCCAGCACCAGCACCAGCAGCAGCTCCACTTCTGCCACATCTCTCCCCCTCCCCTGCGCCCCCGGTACTTTCACCTGCAACACCCTTTTCAGCTTCTCCCAGTGCATCGCCACCACAACGGGAACGACGTATATCTACATGGGCCCCGTCGCCCCTGGCACGACCTGCGTCGATGGCCAAATCGTCCGCGAGAACGACGGGCCTTGCACACCCAACGGTGCGTTGTTCTGCAACGGGGAAAGATCGTTTTATCTGTGCGACCAGGGTGGACTTGCGGACATGGGCCCTGTCGCCCCGGCGACGGTCTGTCGGAATGGGGAGATTGTCGCGGCACGATGATTGTTGTCGTTCAAGAACAAGAAATACAGCCTTTTGCATTCATTCTTGGCGCTTATCATCTATCTTTTTCAAAAGGAAATCAAATCCTTTTGCATAGAAGAGGGAAAACAGGAAGGGAAAGGAAAGGAAAGACAAAAATCGGGTGGCGTTCTTGGGCGTTCATCGAGTCCATTCGGGACTTGCTTCGTCTGCTCCGGCCCTAGCCAGGCAGTTTTGGTCATGGCATAGCATAGCGGTTGGCTGGGAGGATTACGAACCGGATAGAGGAAGGCGATATGGGACGAACACAACGGGAACGGGGACGGGGATACAGCAGAAGGATGCCACCCTGAGACGGATCAACAGAACAGAAGACATCGGAGGATATCTGTTTTTATGTATTTTTTACGTGGCACACGGCACACGGCACGGAACTACTACCATAATGGAATGGAATGAAATGATTTTAACAAAACACGCAAACCTACAGCGCTGTACCAAACCGCAGTTCCGCATCGCAGGACTGCGTGGTGTGGAGATGGCGTGCGCAAGACCTGGTACACGTCCTGTACGGCATTTATAGCGTAGAAGGGAGATGGATAGATGCTCAGGTGCCTCTCGTGTCTTCCCGGCATCCGACTTGCTTGTGCTTGTAGTTCTTGTTCGCCTTCGATATAGATGTAAGAAACCCCTAGACTCTAGTGCCGCGTACTACTCTGGCCATGGAAATAGCTCACCCCTGCTGACCACGGGGGGAGGGAGAGAGGCAGGTGCTGCGACAGAAGAAGGTTCCTTCGCTTTTTCAGATCGAGCGCGGGTAAGAGACTTCATCCTCCTCCTCCTTTGGCAGCCTTGCAGTTTCCCAAAATAAAGCACAGCGGATCGAGTTCGAATAGCACTACCTCATACCTCGTACAGTTCCGAGTACTCCGTACATCGAAAAGCGGGATACAATGGCAAAAGGAGTTTTATTTAAACGCTCTCTGTATTCATGGCTCACTCCCGACCACCAGGGGGCTTGGAACTCTACTCGACCCTATCCCTATCTTTCGTTGCGTGCTGAATTGGCTTTTTTTTTTCATGCTCTCTCCGAACTCCTCTCCCGACTCGGCCGAGCCGCAGTACCAAGTGTATATCAACACGAGTGACTTCCTCTTGCCAGTTGTCGCTCCGAACAAGTCTCGCTCTCATGCTGTCTCTTCTCGTCTTCATTTTCTTGTTCCAAACCTTTCCCAAATGCGGCCTTCCTCGTCCTGTTCACCAAGCACACCGAATATAGAAACACAACTTCGCCAGAAAGCATTTCACTAAACCAACGCGCTCGCTCGTAACCATGCGACGTCAACATTGAGCACTGAACATCGAGCATAGAGCATAACGTACTCCAAGCAGGGCGGGGGCTGTACACAATGGGTATCAACTGAAGGCATAGAAGATAACAAAACCGACAACAACGCGTAACCAACAGAGATCCAACACGGTACCGAACAAAAGCGCTGCTGACAAGACATTGTTCTGCGATCCAAGTCGACACCGACTCCAGGGTTGTGCTTTTTGTGTGATCTATTACTGGATTATTGAGTACTGTAGTTTTCGCCGGACCGTGAGCCACCATCCCGAAAACGCCCTTGTTAACTGCATGTCGTCGTAAAATCAGCATGATTGGAGACCGGGCCGATTTCTCATATCGGTGGAGCACCTGAGCCGCTTTCTGTAGATGTATCACCCTCTACCGTTTTCTTCCAGGCTTCGGGTAGGCAGACACAGACAAGGGGGAAGGCCTTGATCTCCCCCGGCGGGGTAGGAGACTCTTCCCGCGTGGCCGATCCATTCGAGACACCGCTGTCTCGCTGCACCTTATGCTTGCCATCGTAATCTTCTGCCCGCTCGTTGATACGCACTCCGGTTGCCCAGCCGTCATCCCAGATGCCGACCACTTTCAACATGTCACCGCGTTCCAGTTCAAACTCATCTCCTGCTCGAGGTTGATATGCCCACAACACCGAGACTTTATCTCCAGGGTGAATATCATCATTAGAGTAGTAGTCCTTGAAGAACGGCAACTGCTCTGATTGTCCACTTGCAACTCCTTCCGGCGAAGAGAAGTCGCCCGGAGACGATCCATGTGAGTCGCTGCCGGGTGAGCCATTAGCTTTGGCCGCGCCAACAGTCTTTTCGCGCGAATCGGGGCTCTCCCCATACGGGTCTGTGTGAGACGTGTAATTTCGTGGTCCGACGGTAGGTCCAATGCCTGGTTGATCATCTTGCAGTGCAGACATACGAGCGACGCGTCCGCCTGGCAAGACTTCGTATCCTTGCTGCGACATGGGTTGGTTGTAAGATGCGGACACAACACCTTTCCTTTGAGGCGACGGCTGGTTGAGAACACTGCCTGCTTTGCTATCGTTGTGCCTGCGACGAAAGCGTATGAAGCAGAGTATGATCACGGCAAGGAGGAGAAGGAACCCCAATACAGACCCAACGACGATTCCGGCGATCGCGCCGCCGCTCAAACCACCACCTCCATGGCTAGCAACCGCTGTTGGGCTTGCGGTAGGCGAAGACGTAGCACTGGCGGTAGACGAGAAGAGGTTTGAAATGGTGGAGAAGACTGGAAGCGTGACATCCTGGCATCGACCGGTCGCGTTGGAAGTCAAGCAGCAGGAGTCGGTCCCATTGAGGGTACTTGAGCGGCAAAAACTGCAGAGACCCATCAGATTGCCGCTGAACCCGCAGTCGTCAGGTTCGTTCGACTCCCCTGTGATACAACTGCCACTAATAGAATTGGCTGGCAAAGCACAGTTGGTGAAGTCAGCTCGGAGTTCGTCGGCATAGTCGCTATTGCGACCCGCGCATAGGTCGCTCGAGACGATCTGTTCCTCACTCAGCGCCAATTCGGCACAAGAATCAGCACAAAGGGGTTCAGAATCGGCGGGGGATAGACCGCAGGGCGTCCTGGAGTTCTGCACAATGCCGTTGCAGAGAAAGCTGGTCGTATAACGGGCGTAGTAGCTGGAGGTGTTGCCCAGGTTGACATTGTCACAACCGAAGATATTGATGTATTTTGTCTGTACATATTGCTCCACCACATATTGACTTAATTGGGTATCGAAGCTCTCTGTCGACGTCACAAAAGCAAGAAAGGGACTGGAATCACGTTAGGGCTTCTCTTCCTTGGGCCAAAAAGAGAAAGCAGATCACTCACTAGAGGGCCACTAAAGTAGAATCTGTCGATATTGAGGAAGAGTTGAAAGCAGGGCATGTCTTAGAACCAGCCAGTGATATGCAGCTCTGCGCAGAGACACCGGGAGCAATGAGGGCCAATGCGCCCAAATAACGGGGTTTCTTCATACTCTTGGGAAAGGTCGTCCGTGAACCGTTGGCGAATGGATTGGTCAACTGAAGCTTCCCAATGCGAATATCCAAAATGTAACCACCTCTTTCGAGCTCCAGCTCATGCTGGACTCATCATTCTTCCCGCGACCGCTCTGGCTGTTGTCGCGATCGGTCCCCCTCTGCCACGTTACAAGGCTCAAGGTTCGGCGAGTTGGCTGGAAGCTGGAGGCTAGGTCGTCGAGCTCTAACGGGGCAGTGACAGGTTCGGGTCACGGGGGAGTGGAGCGGTGGAATAGGGACAGGAAAGAGTTGAAACTGAAAGAAGTTGTATATTTCCAACGTGTCGAATGACGCAGAAGAGAAGGACAGCGAAACGAGCGACTGTTGGTCAGAGGACTGTCGAAAAAGCTCCGGATAAAGAGAGACCCTGCGAGCGGATTGGAGGCAAAAACAAAGCAAGGTGAGAAGATGCAGATGGAGAGTGTGGAAGAGGTAAGAGATCGGGGGAGCTGGAAGAACACGCAGCCGTGATTGGGGATGCAGGGCTACTGGGGACCCAGTGTTGCCCAGTGGCTGCTGCAGACCCGGCAGAAGAGCGTCCCTGCCACGGCGACAACACACCTGGGCAGCTGCAAGTGGTGCAACTGCGACCTCCAAAGGCCTGCTAACCGCTTCCTGCCCACCCCGGCGCCCACTGGGCACCCGCCAGGCACGCAGCAGGGTGGGTTGCGCAGCGTGGCCGAGCGATCGCTGACACCCAGCGTTCTCGTAGATCGGTACACAGAGGACGACAGCCGGGGCATCTAGCCGGTGCAGGTAAAGCCCGGGCCCTAACGCTCGACCAGGACCAGCCTCTCGCACCAGCACACACTCTAGGCCCTGGCTGGTGCTTGGGTGGCCCTTGGTGGCCCCCGGCTAATTGCAGCGCTTGCCCTGTTCCTCTCACTTCGCAATTTCGCGGCACTCGCTTCACCTTGACCTCTGCTCCTGTGAGTCTCATGCCTCCCACTCCTCACTGGCTGCACTCCCATCTTTGAAACACGACAATCTTCGCCTTTCCTCTGATTCTTGGGCACGCCTGCTTTCGACGGTGTCAACTCGAGGGTCGAGGGACACGGCACTCCATACCTCATACCTCGTACAATTGCCATGGGTCTGAAGAAGAAGCATCTGCTGTGTACTGGGTAGCTTCGGCTTGCTGCATACCGGAACCCCTCCCTGCCTCCTCTTTTGTGCCTCCACCTATTAGCATCTACTCGGTCCAGCGTCTGGCTCGTATCTTTGTTCAGCCGAGACTCCGAAACCTCGCCAGACTTGTGGCAGAATGGCAGTTCGTTTGAGGATGGTCTGAAGTCAAGATTCGATGGTGTTTGTGATGCAGTGGATTCCCTGGTGGAGGGGAAATTGCATGGCGTTGCAACCACTCACACCAGACCATAACTTATCAAGCCCACAGCGTTGAACAAAGACGGTGCCAGTCTCCGTTAGTAGTTGGCTTCATTCGGCTTGCGGACCAGTCGCCTCTGCAGGCCTTTGGTGCGCTTCTTGCCCTTGATGGCATTTTCCGAGATCGCGGCGATCCTCGCACCCAACTTGATCACCTCCTCCATGAGCATTGATCTTTTGTCAATCTTTCACGACAAGGTTCTATCCTCAACTTCGAGCGCATATGTAATGTCATCCTC